CGAAAGCAATAAGTCTCAAAATGAAATGAAAACTAGTTTCTTTGCTGCTTAAAAAATTAGATATCGTAGAAGCTCGTAACATTTAATTGCATGATATTTACTGTAACTGTCGCAGCAGTGTCGACAGCGTGCCCTGCGGTGTCATCGGCTTAAGCAGGATCACGCCCAGCAGTGTTTTCTGGTTTCCTGAAGAACAGGTTCAGAAATGCACGTTCATATCTCTACACACACTCTGTTAGGGGTAATACACATGTCTTAAATAGGCCTCATGTATGGACGGAATTCATAATTGGTTGAAGCCTGGACAAATCTCATTCACTTTAAAGATGAGCAAACTTATCGTCTTCTCGGGCGTTCTACTTGTATTGGGTAAGGTGCATGTCTGCCCCTTGATGTGGTCTAAATGTTGTTATATTCCTTACCAGAGAAATGGCATTTAGATGTAAAACGGAAATGTTTGCGGATCAGATTCAGTAAATGTACTGTGGAGGACTGTTTTCAGATTTTGAAAAATTTCCGTTGTAAAACATACATGTGAGGGTTTTGGGTCGATACTTGTCTTGGTGCGGTACAACGGGATCGAGTAAGATAATATGTTGTTCAATGATTGCGTGTATGTCTGTGAGTCGCGAATAGCTGAGACGTCGATTAAACACTCACTTTAAACTGTATATTACTGGATGCTTTTTAGTTTTGGTTGGAAACACGGAGAGTGGCCATACTATAACACGTTGCCATGTTATAAATATGTATATACATATATACACCAGGCGGATGTGTGAAGTCTTTCAAAAGACGACTAACTTTTACAAAGCTTTTAAAATAGATATCAGGATTAACTTACATGAATTCATTACATTAATTAGTTTTCGTTACAATGCAGCTGCAAGCCTTGAGATGTCATCTTCTCACCATCACCATGGCAGCTCTTCTGGCTCTTCAGGGTCTTCCGGTTCTTCCGGATCTTCCGGATCTTCCAGCTCTTCCGGCTCCTCCAGCTGTGGGTGTTGTGGTTCCAGCAAGAGTTCCTCTTCCTCCAGTGAGTCCTACCCAATGTTCATCCCAGTCCCCATGTCTGGCCACAGCTCTGGATCTCACCACTCCGGATCCGGATCAGGAAGTAACTTGGCGCTTCTAGCTGGACTCATCGGCTGAGATATGTAATGTACATGACCGGAATAAAGAAAGGATGATGAACTATATCGGATCTGTCATTGTTCTTGTGCAGTAAAAATAAAATCGAAGATCCTAAAAGAAACAAATACTTCCCTCTGATCTGACAATAATTATCTGCAGAAGATTTTGTAGTGTTCTATACACAAAACACGTCCTAACATTCGCACGTCCCCAACAGAGAAAGAGAGAGCGAGCCAGATAAGGAGAGCGAAATAGTTAGTTAAATAGATAGAGAGAACGATAGATAGACACTAGGGTGGTCAAATGATTGGTGATGGGCTACACATATCCAGACTCGATTATTTAGAGATCGCTGTCTTGTAGCTGGGATATTACTGAGTGCAGCGTTAAACATCAAACAAACAATACATACGGGTTTAACATCGCGCCAAAAGGGTTTTTTTTCACTTATACAGAGCCGTCAGTTGCCTCTTACGGAAAGCATGGGTTACTGAAGATCACACTATGGAGGGGCCCCAATACATAGTCAAAGTACGCTCCCATCAGTCATTATATATGCTCTCCACACATTTGATTCCGATTATCAAATGGTGTTTATCTGGACTGATATTTCAGTATTATGATCTACACAAAATACATTACATTCGAGAGACATGAACATGCGTGCAGTGCTTGGAACAATCTACATTTAACGTATATTTATTCTCTCGTAAATGATTTGCATACACCCCCATATACCTGTGAAGGCCTAGTTGAGAAATGATCTTCAGCAACCCATGCTTTTCGAAAGGGACACAACTAACGGGATCGGGTGGTCAGGCTCGCTGACTTGGCTGATTCATGTAATCGTATCCCAGTTGCGTAGATCGATGATCAAGACGTCAATCACTGGATTATCTGGTCCAGACTAGAGTAGTTCTAGACGACCGTTATAAAGCTGGAATACTGCTGAGTGCGGCGTTAAACAACAAATAAACAAACAAACAAGCACACGGCCTTCACATAACAAAGGTTTCCATAAAGAGAAGTGTTTTGCTGTTATAACAATAAAATAACAATGAAGTAAATTCAGTTATATTTTTAATAAAACCTAACGTGACCGAATGTACGTGATTTTGTTCAAGAGGGTTTAAATAACGATCCGAACGTGTTAAGTTTTCAAAGAGTCTTTCATTGGGCACATGGACACATGTCCTGCTGTGAGATGGTCACGGTCCTGTCTTTGATCCATCGAAACACAACCATCGAGGATACACAGTTTTACCTGTTCCGATCACCGGATCAAAACAACAGGTCGCGGAAATAGGATAAGCTAAAGATTCAGTTTTGAGATGAGTGAGATGTGAAACTGTATATAAGTGTGGGTGTACCCCGGATCGCAGTTACAGCTCAAAGCACCAGATCTTGAAGACCTTGATCGACAGTCATTCAACTATGAGGCCCCTTGTCACTCTCCTTGTTTCTGCATTGCTTTGTAAGTATTACAGGTCTTGGATGAATTATAATGATCATGTCAAAATCTATCAATCAAACTTAATGTCATTTTCACGAGATACGCGGATTTTCCATTGGACGAGGGACAGGAAACTTACTCTCAGAAGCGTATGAACGATACGTTTTGATGTGTATTAGCTAACAATGGTATGACTTCGTGCTCAGTCAAAAAAAACAAAACAAAACGACCCAAAAGATACATAACTTAAATTAATTATGTAAATAATTATTTGTTAGATTATTCATTGATATCTTTTCAATAGTTTGGTTGGTCAGAGGATATCTACATACACCAAAACTTGTTTCCATGTATTTTCAACCGGAAATGGAAAAGTTTTGGGCTGATACATTTCCAGAAAATAATAGATTACAATCTTATAATAAACACCTTCCTTTGTAAGAATACTAATTTTCTTACTTTACTTATTTTAATATGAATTATGTTTGATGTTTTTCTTGTGCGTATTTTAGTATGCACATGCTATTTCTATATATTTCGACATGTTTATTTGCCTCTTCAGTCTTGGCCTCAGCTGCATACACCGACGGCTGTTGTCACCACCGTCATCACCGACATAGTCATCACCGTCACAGTAGCAGCAGCGGCAGCGGCTCCAGCAAGTTCAAGAGTTTTTTTCCCTCAAGTTTCTCCAAATCCGGATTCAGTTCCTTTGGGGGTTTCGGATCCTTCGGAAAGAAGTATGTATGACGTTTCATGTATTTCGCGTCCATCAGTTCGTTTTTAATTACCGTGGTCATTGTGATGTACATGCGAAAACTATTCCATTGTAATGTTTTCTTCCAGTAACAGGCCCATTTCTGGTGTCCCCCGCCGCGGTACTGCTGGAATATTGCAAAATGCGGCGTAAAACTAAAACCATACTCACTTACTCCAGTAACCGAAAATGCGGAACCTGATTACTGAAAACTACATTTGGTGTTATGCGTAATTTCATATGTAAATAAGGGCGGTAGGGTAGCCTAGTGGTAGAAGCGTTCGCTCTTCACGTACAAGACCCGGGTTCAATTCCCAACATGGGTTCAATGTGTGAAGCCTATTTCTGGTGTCCTAGTCGTGATATTGCTGGGACATTGTTAAAAGCGGCGTAAAACTAAACTCACTCACGCATATGTAAATAAAAGAGTATGTAGGAAAACGACGACGCCACTTGATTCGTTCAAGGAGGTATGCGGTACCTTTCCAAATGACCTAATCATTTCCCGGCCTTCTTCGTTCCAGGTGACGGAACAGAGTCTGAATGCAGAGGCTGTGACTGGGTAAAATAATGCGTATTTAAGTAATAAAATGATAAGCATATTCAATCAGGTTTATGTGTTTTTACGTTAAAACAGTTGCTATGGATTACAACCTCAGTATTTCAAATTAGCGACGATTTCCTGAAGAACATCGCGTTATTATCCATACCATCTTCCCATCAATCACTCATCGAAATTATGTGGTGGAGTGGATCGAGCGTCTTTCGCCATTGTGGACGGTTGGGTGTTTGATCCCTGATCCCGGCCGCGTCATATCGAAAGAAGTCAAGAGATGGTACTTATTGTTGCCCTGGTGGTGTTCGACATTGACAAAGACTTGTCAGCTCAGATTCTGTATACTCTGTCAGAGTGGGGTATTCAAGTTCTAATGCGGCAAGCTATCTCAGTTGTAACCCCCTAAAGCCGTATGTGTATTTTCTTTAAAAACCATATGGTTGCCCTCGTAGCCACGGTATATGGTCTCTGAACCAACCAAACCACGTATCAATCGCTTACTCCCCACTCCACCACCCACTGGTATCTGTGTCGAACGGGGGCGGTGGAGTAGCCTAGTGGTTAAAGCGTCCACTCGTCACGCCCTTTTCTGGGTGCCATTGTACAAAGCGATCTTAGCGCTAAGGTGACCGTAACTTCCATACTTTAACACCTACTTAGGGTAGCCTTAGTGCTAAGGTTGTTTTGAACAACAGCACCCTGGTGTCCCCGACGTGATATTGCTGGAATATTGCTAAAAGCGGCGTAAAACCATACTTACTCACTCACTACTCACTCCGCGTCGAACACCAACACAGTTTCGAGCCAACATTAAACAACCCTACAACCACTTGAACACGGAACCATATGTACAATATTTTAATCGGTAGTGAAAACATGATGTATTAACGTGTCACAAAGGTAATATTACAATATAAACAAACTTAACAAGGCTTGTAACAATTCAACATGGTAAGTTCATATACAAATGATGTTAAGTAACAGCAACGATATAACATGTTGATTGATATGCAACATGCCCTAAAAGTAAAAGTGTGAAAGATAATATGAAATAACGCTTGTAGATATTTCATACATCAAAATTCAAAGTAACAAAACTAGTCATCATAGATGACATATTCAGAGGAGCCGGAAGATCCCGAAGAGCCGGATGAAGAACCGGAGGAGCCCGAAGAGGAGCCATAAGAGCTAGATCCAGATTCGTAGCCACTCTCGCTGGAGGAGCTGCTGCCACTGCTTTCGCCGCTTTCACCGCTGTAGCTGCTGCCCTCATCGCCGCTACTGCTGCTGCTGCAAGACAAATATTGTAAAGTCGTGGGTCACGCGTTGCCCTTGACAATATTTCAAAGAGACGTGCCGATTACTACTCGGGTTCTACCAGGACAAACTGAATGACCGAGATTGAACAAATGATCAAATTGTACATTTCAACATTAATATTTTTCGGATGTACTGACGAGGAAAACAGTCCCCGATTCATCACAGGTAAAAACCACATGAAAAACAATATTCTATAAAGATAAGATGTAATAGGTGTTGTGTTGCGTTATATATTAGATATCCTTGATTCAAGTAATTTACATACACATATTTGGACTTCATATAAACGATAATAGATCACAAGACGTGTCAAGACAATTGACTGACTGACTGAGTTTGGTTTTACGCCGCTTTTAGCAATATTCCAGCAACATCACGGCGGGGAACACCAGAAATGGGCTTCACACATTGTACCCTTGTGGGGATTCGAATCCGGGTCTTCGGCGTGACGAGCCAACGCTTTAACCACTAGGCTACCCCACCGCCCCGTCAAGACAATTGCATTTCTATTACAAAATAGATGTGCTTATACCTAGAAGACTGAATAACGTTTGTCAACAGCACTAATGGGTTAAAGTTGAATTTATATGTCTGTGCCTCAGATCTGACTCAGGTTTAATTAAACCAAGCATAATCTGGTCAAACCAGGGACTCTGTATACATCCATCCATCCATCCATCCATCCACACCTCCTTCCCTCCCTCCCTCAATCCATCCATCTCTGTTACTGCGTGAAAATATTACCTGTAGCTGACGCTGCTCTCGCTGTCGTCTTCGTCTTCGCTACTGCCGCCACTACCGCTACTACCACTACCACTACTGCCGCTGCTGCTATGGTGATGGTGGTGATGATGTTCGTGAGAGTGATGTTTGTGCCCGTGACCATGTCCGTGTCCGTGCCCATGGTGATGACGATGGCTGTGACCGTGTCGATGGTGGCCATGGTGACCATGGTGACCGTGTCGGTGATGTCCATGATGTTTGTGGTGGTGTTTGTGATGATGTTTATGACGGTGACGATGTTCGTGATGTTTGTGATGAGCGTACGAGACAGCACATATTACTGAAATTTACACATAAATCACATAAACCACACGTCAGTGCAAAGGTATACCCACTCTTGACTTACTTCAGAAACAAAGTCCGTTTAGGGGCCGTTAATAATTTATGGCTGGGGTGGGGGTGGGGGTGGGAGTGGGGGTTGATGATGATTTGAGGGGGTTCACCCATCTTGTTCTGCGGAGCTGGGGGGTCATCGATTTTGTACACATGTACTAGGGGCGGGGTGTCAGCAATTTGGTACATAACAATATTTTTAAATTATGCTTAGAAATTATGGGAAGGGGAGGGGAGTCATTGATTTTGTACATGACAAGCAGGGGGTTACTTATTTTGTACATGTATTTTAAGGGGGTCATTCACATTGTACATGCTTCTCCATTAAATTCATCATCAGCCCCCTAGCCATAAATTATGAACGGTCCCTTAGTGTAAAAGGGAAAATAGCTGTAAAAATTAAATGAATGGATCACTGCAAATCAGTGATGACAGTCAAAAGGTTTTCGCGAAAAGATACAACTAAGCATGTCATGCCCTACTAGCACCCGAGATAAACACAAATTCAAGCATTCAACACCTTCTGAAACAGAGATATCGAAAACAAAGTTGGCTTAAGAAATGATTGCTTTAGGAAATCGTCAACAAATGATGGCTGTACTAAAATGACCTGAATAAAATGATTAACACAAATACAGGCCGCATAATACAAATATGTTTCTTTGAGAGGCATATTGTAAGTGCTTGAGTATTATGTAAGTGCTTATTTGATAACGGTGTTAGAATCTACACAGAATCGTCGATCCTCATTGTAAATAAACTATCGAAATACAATAACAATGTCTACATACATTTACAATTTCCTCGCACTTATTGCTATATTGTTTTAACTGCTGCAACGTCAATGCCTCGAATGATCACCCCTACAAACGACCCAATGCAATTCATTCGTTCGAACACCTGGTCTCATCACTATTTCATGAACATCTGGCGAACACCTCATGAACATTTAGCATCATCAGTGTTTAAAATCGATTCAGAAACACATGCTCACTATATAACATATGATCGGAATCGTAAACGCGACTCTGCTTTAAGCAGGTACTTCTTATGAAGGTTTTGTCAATTTGACTTTTTTAAGCGACATGAATTTGTATAATTTTTCTACTTACCAACGACGATAAACGCAATCAAAATGGCCTTGTTCATTGTGGTAGTGTTATCCGGAGTTTGTGGTGACAGTCGATGTGCTCTGCCTACGTTATATAGACCTCGTCATTAAGGAAGTTATTTAATGGTGTAATTTCCAGCATGCTAGGTAGCCACACAGTTTACTTCACGACATATTTTCTTCACATGTAGTGTTTTGTCATAAATCCTTTGCATTCCGCAAGAAAAGATATTTCGAGTCTAAAGTAGAAACATGCAAAAGGGTATCGATTTGATGTGATTGTTATTTCCGGTACCCGTACATGCAAAACACTGTGTAACAACCACGCAAACATATTTCAACATTTAATGTAATGTGATATAAAGTACCAGAAACGTTTACTACTACTACTACTACTACTACTACTACTACTACTACTACTATTAAATATTGGTTCGAGTAAACCTACACATGATCAAACCTGCATGCAAATAATCACCAATTTACATGCAGAAAACAGATCATATTACTTTCTACTTAATTTAAAAAATGTAATTTATTTTTATATTATTCATGGATTAAACGTTAATCACCGACATTGATAATCTTATCACTCTGACCGCATCCCTACAGTCTTAGGACTGTATAATCCACATACAAGGAATTTCTATATAAATATTTGCTATCCCCTTACATATTTGAAGGGGCGATGTGGTAATCTAGTGGTTAAAGCGTTCGCTCGTCACGCCGAAGACCTGGGTTCGATTTTTCCACATGGGTACAATGTGTGAAGCCCATTTCTGCTGTCCCCTGCCGTGATATTGCTGGAATATTGCTACAAGCGGCTTAACTCACTCACTCATTACACAGGTGAAGAGCTGTAGCTTCTGCCCGAGCATGTTTGTCTCGGTATTACAAACACGTACACATGAACAGTGACACAGAGTGCGTTGAATGAGTCAGTTAGAGATATGAATGAGTGAGTTTAGTTTTACGCCGCTTTTAGCAATATTCCAGCAACATCACGGCGGGGGACACCAGAAATGGGCTTCCCACAATGTAACCACGTGGGGAATCGAACCCGGGTCTTCGGCGTAACGAGCGAATGCTTTCACCAGTAAGCTACCCTACCGCCCAGGTGTGAATGAGAAGAGCTAGTGAAAGGGGATCAAAGGTTGAAAAATATGTAATATATGACATACAATACAATAACTGCTGTTTCTATCCCACCAGAGAATAATATTTCATATGTAACGTCACGCAATGAGCCCATAGCATTAAAACTGGCAAACGGTTTCGAAAAAGTAAAACTGGCAAACGGTTTCTAAAAAAGTGCGCGCATGCTCCAGAACAAGCATTGTATCACATCATTCACTGATTGGTCGTGCCCAGATTCGACTGAAGATAGGCTGCCGATATTTAGCTGGAACATAGCTAAGATACATAGCGTTCACTGACATAAACGCTATGCAGCACCTCCTGTCAGTGAAGGCTATGTATCTTAGCTAGTTGTAACAGTGCTCTGTGCGGCGCTAAACAACATACAGACAGGCGTAATGGATGGTATAGCTCCAATCTATGTTTAGAGTTAGCTCCCGTCGACACTCGAACACCTGATGCTGCTGTACCCGACTAAGTCCAGCAAAGATTCAATAGGACCTCAGATGATTACATGGATACATAAATAACTGAACGATAGTTTTATTGATTGAGTATAACAGTGTTTCGGTTAAATCATGGCATGTAATATTGATGTCGGAAAAACGTGAAAGTACTTTATCATAATCTGAGCTTAAAATCCGCTTGTAAGGAGAAATGTGAAAAGCCACAATGAAACGATGAATTTGAAACTTAATCTGAAGATGCTGTTTATTTATGTCAGTACAATGTCAGTCGGTAGTTTTCAAGCTTTTTATTTTGTTAATCTATCCGTACTGTTCTTGTTCCTGTCATGTTAATTGATATGTCCATTTTCAACCGGTCCTGTGGGAGTTTGAAACAAGACGCACAGTCGCACACATACCACACAATCATATGCAGCATGCTTCATGCTCTCCGTGAAGCTGTTGAGAAGGTTCTGTCAACCGTTGTGTCCAGGAACTGTGTCACGTACCCTTTTAACACATTGAAAATGACTACAGTGCTCTGGACATAGCAATTATTGAACTACATGTACTTGCTATTATACTTACATGCTTACCCTTTTTTGAGACAAATCATAAAACGGTTTTACGCAAAATTTAATCTGATTTGTCTGATAATCGAAGCTGGTTTTATTTCTCGGACTATGACCTTCACATATTTTCGGATGATGTATGTGATGTGTGTTTTTTATCACCGGGGTATTGTAAAACAAGGCTTTTCACCATGGCCGTATCGCCTTCCCCTCTCGTCCCTGAACGACGGTCAGTATAGCTCTTGAGACTCAGTTTGTAGTGTGTTGACGATAATATAGGTTAGGCGCTCTACCGCTGTGTCGGACTGCGATGTTACGATGCGAGTTACGTCCCCTTGTATCACTCTCGTTGAGTAAGGCAACAAACAGGAGGCACATGTTTTTAGCAGACGTCATTTGTCCTGTGATATATTGTTTTGAGTTCTGTCAAGTCGAAGAACATAACACATTTGGGGTTTTATATGGGAATTTGTTGTCCATAAATTTTATTCACTAAGCTTAACCGTGTAATAGAGATGATTTGATATTTTTTGGCGTAGTAGCGGGATGATGCACATGGTACTATGCACAGGGGCATAATTATTATAATACGTCCTGGGTCCTACTTTCGTTCACAGATATGGATATTTGAACGAAAGTAGGACCCTGGACGTAGTATTTTCAGCAATACAAGCCCCAGTGGTACTATGTACATATTTCTTATGCATTCATGGTAATTTCTGCCACATTACGAATTGAACATGTAGCAGGTGGCTATACCTCTGAGTGAGTTATGACCACCCTCTCATAATCCCCCACAGTCTTATCAAATACATGATATATATACATTATCACCCATATTGTCATTGTCATCATCATTTCATGCTGTTTGCATTATATGTTGTCCTTGTCTGCAGTTGAATGTCAGCCCACTAACATCTTCAATGTTGAATACCCTTAGCAGCCTCTGATTTCTCCAGCTACACCTGCACTTCCCTTCTCTATTTTTATACACTTCCATCACCTAATGTAACTGTCCAGCATCTGACTTCCTTTGACACAGTCTATTCTCCAATTGAATAAATGGGCAGAAAACGTGATCTTCAATAATGAACATTTGGAGATGCTACTTAAATCTGTCTTTTGATTTGCCTTTTGGTCCTCCTCTCTAAACTTGATTTCTCACCTGCCCCCTCATGCATTCTGCATGAACTCTTATAGGAGGGAGGTTCCCTCTTTTCAAGTGAGAATGATTTCAATATTCTTATCTTTCTGTACTTTGTTCTGGAATCAAATACTATTCATTAAAGGCTTTCTCACTACTTCATAATAGCAAAATATATTTAATTACAATATTATTTCATATATTATCTAAATATTTACCAGCTACCACATATTTTATAACTCTGACTGAGCACATGGTCTTAGTGCTATAGTCATGTAAAGTATTTGGCTTAATTATATACTTTCTGCATGAACTCTTATAGGAGGGAGGTTCTCTCTTTTCAGCCTTCCTCCCAACTTTGAACCAAATAAACTTATGTTATGACTAGCAGCCCAGTGGCTGGACATTATCTACCACACCCGACTACAAACACATCTGGTGGTAAATGTTTATTGTTATCTTTGGGTGGATTGCCTCTTTCAGGTTAAGTACATTTTCATTGTTGTGAGTCAAATTTCTCTTTTAGTGATGAATTACCTTGTTCAGGGCAAGTGACCTATTCTATAAGACTGGGTTTGTATTTAGGTGACTGCCTCACTGCCTCACTCACTCATTGTCTTTATTCCTTTAAGAAGATTCATAATATAAAAACAGAAAGTATTCTTCACACAAAAATAGTTAAAGAACACTCGATTCTTTAAAATTACTACAGTTATTCTTACCTTGACATATTAACTAAAATAATAGGAACGAATCTTGTACTTTTTATCGCTTTTAAAGCCGTGTTTTTGCACACACACCCCCCTCACTGCAAATACTCACAAAAACAAGGATCCAATAATGTTTTGAATAAGTTGGTTTGCAGTTCAATGGATACATTGAGTCACACATCATTTGTAACCAGCTCACAACATCCAGTGCGTATTAATTACTCCATGAAAGTCCAGTTTCCATTCAGCAATTAGTTGAAGACACACAACCAGTAAGGTAAACTGAACATCACGCGGAAACAGCTGTGGTAGGTAAGCCAGGGAGCCAGGTCATAGTATTTTCATCATGACTCCGTAAATCTCCGTATTAGGGTAACAACCACAGTCTGTGGAACATACCATGACGTATTGTTGAAATAATATCATAAATCACACGCTTCACACAAGTTCAAAGGTAAAGAGATACTTGGTGTAGTTTTTGTAACGGTAATGGTGAGCTCTGGCTGTGTAATCCTCAGAGCCTGCTGTGATGACAGCGTGATGGAGATTATAGCAGAATCACACCAATTTCATCACAGTTAATGCAGTAATAAAGTATTATAAAAAATGCTGCATAATGCTTAGCTTCAAAATACACGACTACATAAGAACAACCACGAACAGAAGAAGCATCATTCGCTGGACCTCAGCTAATTTCTCTCAAGCATGAAGAATCTCACCTTGATCCTCGTTGTATTAGTGGGTGAGTATTAGTCTTTTTCTCTTCTTTTGCGTTTTTTTTGTTTTACGCCGCACTCAGCAATAGTCCACCTATATGGCAGCGGTCTAACCCGGATCTTCTATAAACTACGTACCTGGAATTTTGTGTCTTGGTTGTATGTTTATGATGTGCTGATTCTGTCCGTCATGATAAGGTTTATTTGTGTTCATGTCATTTAAATATAGTTGTCCACTGGACAAGTGTCATGCTCGGATTACTGTACACTCAGCAATATTGTATTGTTCGCCTTGGGTGTAATATGGATTATATGGATGCACATAAATGTAGATGCATCTCTATGAGTGAGTGAGGGACGGTGTGGAAGCCCATTCGCTCGTCACGCCGAAGGAGTGGGTTCGATTCCACACATGTGTACAATGCGTAAAGGCCATTTACGTTGTTCCTCACCAGAGTGAGTGAGTGAGTATGCCGTGATGTTGCTGGAATATTGCTAAAGCTACTTACAAGATACTCAGTATGAGTGAGTTGGGGTTTATGTTTTGCGCAGTCTTTAGCAATATTCCAGCAATATATCACATTCTATGAAAATATATATTCTGTGAATGAGTACATGGTTTGGTAATTATCTGAAAATATTATCATTGTTAAATCAGTGGATTCCTATCTTTGGTATCGGGAGTGGAATCACATGGACAACCTGTAAAACATAATCAGATATTGTATTGGAGATTAAATGAAATACATGTACATATTAGATTTGCATTTCCGGTCTCAGCTGGCACCTTAATGCTACTTTTGTTTCCCTCTGTTACCCAGTGATAGCCGCTCTGGCGTACGCCCATCATCATCACCGTCGTCATCGTCATCGCCGTCATCATCACCACCACCACCACCATCATCATCACCACCATCACCGACATCACAGACATCACCGTCACCATCGCCACCACAGACATCACCGTCACCACAGCCACAGTCACAGCAGCAGTAGCAGCTCCAGCAGTCATGAGACCATCATCGTCCACCACCATCACTCCTCTCCGTCCTCCTCTGGCTCATCCGGCGGGTCCTCCGGCTGCTCAAGCTGTGGAGGCAGCTCCAAGTCCTCGTCCTCGTCCTCCGAGGACTACCCCATCCCAATCCCCGTCCCCTACAGTCACGGAGGCAGCAGTGGTAGCAGCAGCAGCGGAGGATCTGATGCTGCCCTCCTGCAGGCTCTCCTCAACGGTGGAAAGAAATAGAGCTTTGTCAGTTAGTAGTTTCGAGATAGCAGTATAATGTTAAATGGACAATTTTGAAGTGGCCAAGCTTGGTTTCTCTTATATTCATAACCACAGATTTTATCTATAGAATGTTTATGATGTCTTCTTTCAAGAAAAGTCGAAAAATGTAAAACTGTCAAATATACAGATGATCCCTTATTAGGGTTATTATTATGATGATTAACTGTAATTGGTGAGCTATACAAAATCTCCAATGGGTGAGTTTAGTTTAACGCCGCCTTCGACAGTATTCCAGGAATATCATGGCGGGGACACCAGAAATTGTTTTCGCGCATTGTATCTATGTGGCAAATCGAACCCGGGTCTTCGGCGTGACGAGCAAATGCTTTAACCACTACGCCACCCCACCCTTTGCCTGAGTTCTATTGTACTCATCCTTCTTATGATAAACTTGTATTACTTTGCACATCACACGATTCAGGTATTTTAAATCGTTTAGCGAAGTTTCTGTTCCTTGCATTCAAACAACGTAACAATTACCTTAACAAAACTTGTACAACCCATTAAGTGTATGTTTATTGCCCTTGTACAGTGTTATGGCGCTCCAGATTTCCACTTTCATGATATGACTCATGTAACTGTATAATGGGGCCACATTATATTGAATAAACCAATTATTATAAACTTCCACATCCGAGGAAATGTATCTCAGATCAATGTGATTCGACAGATTGATAGATAAATATTGTTTTCAGTGATAGGCCAGGGATTTACATGCATGGCATGTGTGTAACCATACATTGACCAACTCTAAAAGTATTTTTTGTTTACTTTCAGATTCGCTCCTTTTTCGGTTGAGGTTTTCTTTGGGTGGAGCTGGTCTCACTGGTTTTCTTGGATCAATATATATTTTATAAAATACGGATTGTTGATGTGTAAAATGATGAATAGTGAAATTGTAATAAAAGTAATGAAGATCTACTTCAGTGTTTTCAGACTTTATTATCAATATGTAGTTCTGCATTTTATACGAGTGTTTGTACACCTTGGGTCGGAAGTGAGTGAGTGAGTGAGTCGGAAGTGAGTGAGTGAGTGAGTAGAAATTTACACCGCTTTGAACATTATCCCAACCAGTATGCGAAATATCCTGAATATCATTGAAAACGCACCAGTCTAAATTTGTCCATATTTTCATCAAGATGGATTTAAGCATGACAATGATCAATGAATATAACTAACATGAAGTCGAAGGGCATGTCCAGTTGAATGCTTTAGAAACAAATTCCTGTCCACAGTATGACTCTTAATTCCAAAATGCATCAACATGCAGCCACGCCATAAAAAAGCGCGAATTTTATTCTGAAATCATACTGACTGTGACATTAAAGCGGGTGTATGAGAACCGATTCGCATTTCTTCACTAACGATTGTGAAACGAGGACAGAGATGTCGAGGTTAACACCTCACGAAAGAGAACGTGCACTAGGCATGATTCAGGTTGGCACCAGCAGCAGGGATATTGCTCGACAACTTGGACTTGGCCACTCCACCATCGTTAGGCTTCATAGACGACATCAGTAGACAGGCAGCACCCGTGACCGTCAATGGCCTTGGCAACAACGTGTTACAACGCTCCATCAGGATCGCCATATTGACCTTGTCCATATCAGTGATTGAACACTGCCGACTGCCAGGACTGCTGCACTAGTTCAAGGTTGACGTGGGGGTCATCAGCGTTGACTCCATGCGACGCCGTCTACACGCTACGGGGCTCCATGCTCGACGTCCTTACGTTGGACCAATTCTGACTGACAGAATGAGCGTATACAATGGGCTAGCAGGCATTTTCAGTAAAGGTTACAACAATGGCATGGTGTAGTAGTCACTGACGAGTCACGTCTTCATCTACGTAAAGCTGACGGCCGATTACGTGTTTGGCGTAGACGTGGTGAACGTTATGCTGATGAGTGTGTGGTTCGCAAGATGTATTCCCCATGGAGCAGTTTTGGGACGAAATTCGTCAATCACCACCAAATTCGTCAGAGTCTTTCACGGCGACAACAGATGCGAAACATCCGGGAACTTGAGGCTACACTACTGCAGAAGTGGAATGCCGTCCTCAAGAACTCTATTCCGACGCTTATTGACTCAATGAGGAGACGTTGAACTGCATGTGTCAATGCAAATTTCGGTCACTCGCGATATTGACTTTTCGATTTGACCCCACGTGTGTTTGATCCTTTCTGACTGTGGAACATTTCAATGAATGAGCGTCTTTTCTGTGTTGTTGTTTTTGTCAGTCGTCTATCTGTTATTATCCACTCAAAAAATATCAGTTCCTTACACGTGCTTTTAATGATCTGAACTATTATAAGTGGTGCGTTTTCAATGATGTTCAGTATAGTTTCCAAATTTTGCTAGTCAGTCGGTTTTGCTATGCCTGAAACTTACTAGCCCCGAAATAATTCACTAGCCCGAGATTTGATTGTAGAAACTAAGCAATAGATTACAAAAAGAGATGAGAATAAGATATTCTGGACATGGCACAGGTTTCATCACTGAGCTGCTGATGTGATGAACATTTTTATCAGGCCACAATCTTGCATGATTTAAAAGTGCGTTATAAGTTAACAAGTCGGACAGGGTGATATATTTTACATGATTTATTTTAAATGACCCCATGAAAATTCACTAGCCAGTCAGGCCAGTGACTATGGAGATTTACTGGCCCGACTGGACTTTTACTAGCCACGGGCTTGCAGGCCAGTGGCTATTTCCCATCTTTAGGTGAGTACATCGGGAAACACACGTTGGCGTGCCAAGGCAATGTTTGACTACCACATGTACCATAGGTTACGTATAGCATCACTCATTGCATGATGTTGAAATGCTAATTTCATTTTAGCTCACACCTACTCCTGGTTCATTCACATACACTGTGAAACATGTTGACATGATATTAATAGGGGGGGTCATAAACATACACATCCACTTTCTCACACAGACTAAAACACAAATGTCCGAAAACTCTAAATTAGTTCCAGAATATTGTTTAGTTTCAGGAAAGATGATGATATCTGTTCCTTACTGTTATAAATCCGAAGACATGTTTACGAAAGGCATATTAAAATACTGACTTTGTGTGCTGGCGATGAGGTACCTGACTCTGAGAGTGTGGGTTCGAATCCCAGGCGGGACGCAACCCAAAAGTATTAGAATCTGAGTGTACTTTACTGAGAAAGTATAATTCACAATATGGCATATGTTGCATTTGACCACTTTCTGAATGGCATTGTGTATTCGTATCTTCAAATGCTTTCTTTCAGGAGAATGGTGAACTACATGTAATATACTAGCTTGAAATGGATATTGCACAAGGTAAAGCCCATGCAAATAGAAGCGACAAAACCCTTTCAACATCCATCTGAAATGTCTGTTAACAGTAGAGTCGATTGTACAATCTTGACTACATCATGAGCAGATATTTGTTACACAGTTGTATTACAGCTGTACGATGTTGTTTGTAAACAAATCGATTCTGGACCAGACAATACAGTCATTGTCACCATGCGATACGAACACAGAGCATGTGTTTATGAATCACTATGAAATAGTGATGATACCAGGTGTTGGCGAAAAGGTCAGGGCATGCTGTGCCACCGGTGGCACCCGTCATAAACACATGTAGAGTCTAGTCAATTGTTCATCTGAAGTAATTCAGGAACGTTTGGTACAAGTCAAAATAGGGAATTGCATCGGACATCTTTTTGGTCACTGATTCATCAAATTTCTAAAATGTGCGCCACCATAACACTTATTGAAAGCTTTACCGAGACCTTGAGTCCCCCGCCGTGATATTGCTGGAATATTGCTAAAAGCGGTGTAAAACCATACTCAGTTACTTACTACTGAGACCTTGAATGTTGTAACCTTAATCGAACAACTTCTGAGCAAGATTGGTAAGACGCTCTTTGAAATCTTGGTAAGACGAGCATGCTCGATTGTACCTCAAACGTTGTGACATGTAAACACAAAACAGACTTTAGCTGTGGGAATATTGCTCGAAAGGAAAGTTGACTACTGGGAAACTATTGTCACAATAGCTCATAAACAAGAACGAGGATAACGCATCCACAGTAACTAACCACTGGGAGAGGGCCATCAACTTCATCTCCAACTTTATTAAGATCATATTTTCACACAGCATCCATTGAAATAATCACTGATATCCAAATACAATTATGGATATCCACACAGAGTATGTATTGACATGTCTTCCACGGTGGGGTAGCCAGGTGGTTAAAGCCTCCACTCGTCACGCCGAAGGCCCGGGTTCGATTCCCAACACTGGTGCAATGCGTGAAGCCCAATTCTGGTGTCCCCCGCCGTGATATTGCTGGAATATTGCTAAAAGCCGCGTAAAACCATACTTACTCACTCACTCACTTAATCACTCACTCACTCTTGGACATGGACAGCAACAGTCAGTCAATCACGGTACGTGAAGTCATGAGAGTCGCTGCTCCAATGAAGTCCCTCATCATTCAGTTGTCCTGTTGGAGTCTGTGTTCTTTGAACAGCAAATATTAGTCGTAATACCATGTATTGGGTGTCAGTTAGTATAAATGTGAGGTAACGTTGCATTTGGCAGGTTCATGTTGCACCAGTGCAGGTTCTAAATGCTTAAACTATGCCCTACAATCCATCGACTAACCGAACGAGTGGTTCAATGCATTATCGAAAACTACGTGTACCAAAGAAAATATAAGTATGACAAAGCTTGCATTTATTAATACTGAACAGTGGTCTGGTAGAGGAAGGTGAAATCCTCTGGCGCGTTAAAAAATCTTACTTCTTGTTATCCGAGTCGCTCTGTAAAAATAATCATCTTAAACGCAAATGTCAAAAACCTTCTCACTTCATGTCACCAATTAACTAATACTAGCTGCAGCATCAAATCAGTTAAAAAAATCTATTCCGACTATTCAATGTACATGAAAGCGTTACTAATATCTAAGTTTAATATCCAACAGCGTATTGTAAAAGCATAAAGCATTTTCAACAACAAATATTCCTTTTTCACAGTTGGTAATGATTTGTGCTTTTATATTAAATATATCAGCATTCAGATAAATTCCATTTTGCGTAGGTTGCAAATTATCCCTGAAAGCTATATTGACCACTGATAATATAATTATAGGCAACAGCAAAATTATTCAATATTAATCCAAATAATTACAGGGGTATTTTAAGTTGAACCAAACATCATCGCATAACCGATGCGGAACAGTCACACTATTATATTGCTAACTAAAGTCAGAATACAGGACTACGTCAAATGGGGACGGGGAGGGGTTATTGAGGGAAACACACAGTAACGGGTCCCTACTAGATTTCTAAGCATGGTGTTCCATGTTGGCCTCATTGATACAATAAGCTAAAGCTTCCATAGCTAGCGCAATAATGAGTGAGTTTAGTTTTACGCAGCTTTTAGCAATATTCCGGAAATATCACGGCGGGAGACACCAGAAATGAGCTTCACACATTGTACACATGTGGGGAATCGAACCCGGGTCTTCGGCGTGACGAGCGAACGTGGTTAACAAAGCTACCCCACCGCCCTAGCGCAATAATGCTTGTCCTTCCTGTTTAGCAGTTGAGCATGACGAGAATGACGTCCTACCTTGTTCATGTCTGACTGAGGACGTTCATGTTTATTTCGTAAAAAATCTCATTTTCAGGCTGAATGAAAAAACTTCATTCGTGACGTTGTTTCTGTATCAAATTTGGTTCTAACACAGCACTTGGAATATCAAAATCCGCTCAAAACCGATAAAAACGCTTTCCTTCTTGGAATATATATCAAACTAGTGCGATTCAAGCTGAACTGAAATAGTCCTGAGAAGGGGCATTGCCGCGTATAAAAAACAAGCAAACAGTATAAACCT